AGCCAGATAGGGAGCCGTTGAGTTGCGATAAATGTTTATACTGGAGGGTAAGCATCGTTAATTGGATCAGGTTCTAGAGTAGGAACGACAAGCAGATATATCGGAATTGGGCGGATGGGTGGGGTCGTTGAGTATCTTATGAACGAAATTCTTACGTGAAGTAGTGTGAAAATCACAATTTTGTGATTAGAGTGTATAAAAGAAACGATTGGTAATTACAGAACCGCAACGGGGGGCAATGAAATGTTTTTAAAGTAGTTCAGGGAAAATAACGAGCAAACTACAGAGGAAATGCATTGATAAACAAAAGAACATAGTTTCATGCTTCACTCCAAATTGTTGTAGTGTACGTATCTGGAAGGATAAGCGACGCAGTCTACACAGACTAACACATGAGAGGACCACCGTAAATGACTATCTATGATGACTCCTAGGTATTTGGTTATGTGTTCTGGTGATGGGCACGAAATTGATGACTGAGGGTTCTGAGAAATATTCAGACCGGGAAAGACTAAAAATGTGTTCGAAGCATTTAGAAACATTCAACTGAAGACCGGATTGGTTTCAGAATGATTACACTTGTAACAAACTCCGAAAATGATTTCATGTCAGGTTGGTTTGAAACGGTCTGACACAAGAACACATCATCAACATCTCTAAAGGACTTGACCGGTGGGATAGAGCATAGGTCACTGGTGAAAGTTGACTTAAATTTGGAAGGAAGCACAACACCATGAGGGACTCCAAAATTACTCATTAACTGTTTTGAAACAGTGCCGTTTGCTTTCGTCCTTTGAGTCCTTTCTGTGAAATAGTCTTTCAACCACCACAATAAGTTGGTGGAGCGACTGAATGACTGTAACTTACACAAAATAAAAGATTGTGGAACAGAATCAAAAGCCGAAAAATAATGAAGAAAAAAACGAACGGATTTTTGAGAATCATCTAAAGGTTTCCAAGTAAAGTGCTCCAGTGAAGAGACAGCATCCAACGTGCATCTATTGGGCTTGTACGCAAACTGAGTCAGAGTCATTTGATTGTAAAATCTGTCTTGAGTAAGGTTACCCACGGTAACTGAAACGTCGGCGAACATAATTATCTGCCGATATCGCTGTTATTAACACTATAACATTCGCAATAAAGACACGATAAGTTATCGGACAAATGAACACATCAATTGAGCCAACCACAGCGCAGG